GGGAAAGAGAGGTTGTGGTAACGGGTTTTTATAGGAAAACACGGATCCCATCTCGCCGCCCGGACTTTCCACCGGCCACCGTTAAGTAATTTCCGTCCAAGGGCCAATTTCGCCATTTTAAACTATTTATTTAATGCTAGGGGCTATTTCGTAAATTCCCTGCCTCCAGGAGCACTTTCGTAATTTTCATTTAGTCACTAGTGGCATACTTATATATACACCTCAGCATGTCCGAGCCAAGCGGAATTCAAAATCTACCCCCACGGCGGCGAGTGCTCTCCACGCGCACCTCGGCGCGTGAGGAAATCTGCTCCATTGGTTTTTGTTAATTAATTAATTAATTAATTTGAATCGTAATCTCTCTCTGGAAAAGGTATGTACTTGGGGTGAACTCCGTATGTCTCGTGGGCGTAATACTGATCCTTTCGTATTTTTTATTTTTTATTTTATTTTTTAATGAAAAAGGAAATTATAAAAGGGAAAATTTATTTTTTTTTCTTTTTTTCAGAAAATACGGAAATTCATTTAATCATGCCCATTTGAATAACATAATGTTTTTAATTTAATTTCCTTTTCATTGATTTTCATCTTTCTGTTGTATCAATAAGATTCACAATCACCAAGTTTATTAATATTTTTAATCTTTTTAGAGCATCCATATCTTTTGGTAGTTAATGAACGATATTACATTCTAATTTTATTTATCTCATTTGAAATATAAAATAGGATTAAATTTTTACGTATTACTGGTACAAAGGTATTTATATTACTCATTAACTAATATTTTAACATGTGATATCTTATTATTTTATAAATTAAAATTTATAACAAATAAATATTTATATATATTTAAATTATATTATAATTAAAATTTATAATAAGCAAATATTTTTATTATGTAAATAAATTTTTGTAAATTAAACACAAACTTTTATCTTTTATTTTAAGTAATAATATTATAAGGAATTTTCTTTTTAATGACATAATTCTTTCAAAAAAATTAATTTTTTATTTAATTTAATCTTTGTTTATTATAATTATTTATAAATTATATTTTAATATTTTAAAATAAATTATCAATAAATAAAAAATATTATGCTATAATATAAATTATTTAT